GACCCCAGCAAGAAAGAGGACCCCAGCAAGAAAGAGGACCCCAGGAAACTGGCGACTGAAGCTTCATAGTGAGGAAGTAGTCAAAGGGAAGGAAATGGTGGAGCTGGAACAGCCGTTAAGGTGCCGCTTGGCTAGGTGAGAAAGGGATCAGTTTAGAACGGAGGGTATCTGCTTCTCCAGAAGCAGGGCCTTCCCCTAGCGGGGACAGGGGAATGGTGTCCTGGACCTCAGCAGTGACCGTGATTTTCTCAGGCCCGTTGGCAGCTGGACAGATGGTCAGGGGCTTTTTACCGCAGGACCACAGGCAAAAGAAGGGGCGGAGGGGGCCCGAGAAAGAGGTGCTGGGGAACGTATAGATAAGCGATCCGTCGCTCATGTTGTAGAAGGAAATGTCTCCTGATTCATAGTCCAGAAAAACCCCAACCCGGCGAGGAGGTCCTGCTAACCGCAGAGGGGTGCGGAGTGGGGTGAGGGCCCAGTACCCGTTTCCATATAACTCCACGGCCCAGAACCCATTGTCAGGAGTCATGGGGTCAAACCCTTTCTTCACCACATCCTCCCTACACACGCCAATGGCCCAGTCAGTTCTGTCTCCCACCTCCACCTCCCAGTAATGTCTCCCTGAAGTGAAGGTCTCTCGGCCTAACACACAGGGCCAGGAGTCAAATCTCTCTGGTCTATCAGGCAGGATCTGACGCGAATCTTCCAAGCGAACTGATTTTGAATCTTCATAGAGAAAGAGATGAGGGTGGGCTGTGTCTGGATCCAGAGTCACGTCAACTGGAGGCAAAGAGAGAGCGTGCATCAGCAAATGCAAGATGGTACTCGGCCTGTGCCTCCTTCCCAAATACATGGAGCGGAGCTGTAGGAGCTGATGCATCCCTGTAGTAGGGAAGTTGTCTGGCCACTCACTTGCTGTCCTTCTCTCCAGACCCCATCTCTCACTGGCAACTCTGGAATGACTTAAGAACTGACTGCCCTATGTATGGGGTGTGGTCAGAGGAGCTTTTCCGCTAGCCATCTTCCGTGGTTCTCTGGATGCCTCGCGGGGAGTGCTGAGGCCATTCACTGTCACTGCCCCCCTTTGTAGCCTATCACTAACTAAAGAAGACGTCTGAGTGTTCTCGTGGTCAAGCCTCCCTCACAGGTCTTGGACTCCCGAGCTAGAGCTTCAGAGGCAGTGAGGAGCTCAGAACCACTGACCTTCATGCAGTGCGGTCTTTTTGCATCCTGCAATGTGAAGAAAGAGAGACTGTCAGTGGTGTGTTAACAGACAGGAGGAGAAAATCTAGGGGCTCAAAAACAAGAAGACAACTTACTGAGTTCTTCCAGAAGTCTCTCTGGAAAACAAACAAAATTATTTCAGTGGCTTTTTATAACAGCCAAGTGGAAGGCGGAAGACCAGAATGAGAACCACATAAAAGAGACACTGTTTAACCCATGGTGGCCCAGTGACAGACACTGCCAGTGAACCAGGAACAGAAACGCTGCCAGCAAAAACAGAGTGTTTCTAAGAAACCATCTGGAAGTTCCTCTTGGCTTAGGACTAGATCTTAATCATAAGAGTCTTCCTGGGAAATGGGCTTAGAATTGGCCAGAGGGCCTGAAGCTGGGTTGTGAGAGAACATAAGGTATAAAATAACAAAGAGCTGGTTTTGACTCTGCCTATATCACATCCACTTTTCTTCACATTAGGTACCTGTAATTTTAGAAGGCTTCCAATTGCTTCCAATTTCAGAATTCTAAAATCCAGCGTTTTCCTGCTGGAAGTCATCTGGACAGGCCTGACTCCCACCCTCCCTGGAAGCTGTAACATGAAGCCTTTGTGGGCACTGTGACTTACCTTTAGAGCCAAATTCACTCTTCCGCTCTCTGGCTCTTTCCTTGTATAGTCTCCAAGTGAAAAATATGGACGCAATGGTGAGAAATCCTAGGGCCAGTATGACGATAGCCACAGCTACTATCCAAGGAGTCAGCCTTGGCACAAAGGGAGCTAAATAAACAAACGAAAACAGGCTCAAGAAGGACATTGTTTGGGAAACTGAATGATTTCAGTTTCTCTGCTAGTGTCAAAGGGAGATGGAGCTGAGGATGCCCTTGAAGGCCTCCCACCTCCCACAGCAAGGATTACTCCTTCATGCTGAGTGTTGCAGAGATTTGACCCTGGGCAGAAGCAAGCACAGAGAGCCATCTAGGGCCAGAGCGTGAGAAATAAAAACCTAATGGGCCTCTCGGTGTGTCACAGAACCCCCTTGCTAACCACCACTGAGGCAGTGGAGGTAAAGGAGGAAGAGGAGAGACCACGTGCCTGACAGAATAGGACTTGTTGGTCAATAAACAAGGCATGCTTCCTGCTAAACCAGAGGGGATGACTAGGGATGAAAGAGCTTGCTTCCTGGAGGAACTTGGCCGCCTATCTGGAGGTCCGGTGTGGGATGAGGAAGGGAGGAGAGGTTCAGGGAGGGCAGGTCAAATCGGAAAAGCCATTTAGTCTCTACTTATTGAAGGAGGGGGTCCAGAAGGCCCCCAGGGACAAAGTTCCTCTGTCTCACCCATTTATCCTAAAATTCAGCTCTGGAATTTTTTTTCATTTTTCTTTATTAAGAAAATTTCTACTCACTCTACATACCACCCACAGATCCCACCTCCTCCCTTCTCCCACCCTCCAGTCCTCCCTCCCAAGCCACCCCACATCCCCACATCTCCTAAATCAAGGTCTCCCACGGGGAGTCAGCAGAGCCCGGCACACTGAGCCTAGGCAGGATCAAGCCCCTTCCCACTGCACCAAGACTGTGCAAGGCGTCACACCACAGGCACCAGATTCCCAAAAGCCTGCCCATGCACCAGGGACAGATCCTGATCCCCCTGCCTAGGTGCCCCCAAACAGTTTGAAGCTCTGGAATTTTTATGTGATCGGCATGGGAGTGGTGTATGGCGTACTAGAGGTAGAGCCTAGGACTTTATGCATGCTAAAAGCACTCTGTCAATGAGATACAGCTTACCAGGCAGTGGTGGCACACACCTTTAATCCCAGCACTCCTGAGGCAGAGGCAGGCGGATCTCTGAGAGTTTGAGGTCAGCCTGGTCTACAGAGTGAGTTCCAAGACATGCTCCAAAACTACACAGAGAAACCCCGTCTCAAAAAAATGAGAGAGAGAGAGAGAGAGAGAGAGAGAGAGAGAGAGAGAGAGAGAGAGCGCTCAACCCTCAGTATCTTTATTCTAATGAAATTGGTAGGGCTTCCCTCAAATCAGCAGGCAAGAGCTTAGGGGAAGATGTAGACAACTCTGCCATGAAGTCCCTTCTGAGCAGGGCCCCAGGTCATATTGTCCCAAGTCTCTGTCAACATGGCAGTACAATATTCAGTCCACTGACCTGGTACAGAGATCTCTACTTCCTTCTCCTGGCCAAGGAGGAGATTCTGGATGCAGCAGGACGCATTCATTATGGAGCTGTCTGTGATGATCACTGAAGCTGCCACAGTGAACAGGCCTTCCTCGTCACGATTCCCGGACTCTGCTGTGACTGGAATTCTGTCTCCTGAGGGAGTTCTCCACTGCACTTCTGGCTCTGGGAACCACCCCGAGGAGGTGCATTTCAGTTGGATCTGTCCATTCTCTTTAACTCCCACACTGATGTGAGGATCGGAGCCCAGAGCTATGGAGAGAGAAGCTGGCCTTAATCTTTCAGTGGGAACTTTCCCGGGGGCATGATGATCTTAATTTGAGAAAGACAGAGAGGATGCAAAAGTGGACTGGGAATAGGTGGGATTCCTCTAGTCCTTCTGTGTGAAGACCGAAGAATCAATAAAAATAATTTATTACGCCTTCTCAGAGAGGATGTCTTATTGGGATCAAGACCTTCACCATAAGCAAAAGTCTGCTGGGTAGGCACGGGGGCACTTGTCCAACCCTCAGAAGCAGCAAGCAATGGCTAAGAGGTGGTTTAGGAGCCACCTAAACCAGAGTCAAGAAAGAGTGCTTTAGTTAAAAGTACGTAACATGATTTGGGGGATGAGACAACTACGGTTAGAAATTTTAGAAATGGAAAGAAAAGTGTTCTCCTTTTTAGACAGGCACTCATGTAGCCAAGGCCAGCCTCAGACTCATTATACTGCTGAAGATGACCCTGAACTTCTGATCCTCTTGTCTCTGCCTCCCAAGTGCTGGTATCACAGGCAGGTGGCACCAAAACCATTTTCTCACAGTGCTAGGGAGCCCATCCAGGGCTTTGTGCACGCTAAGCAAGCACTCTGCCAACCACACCTTCAGTCCCCAAAAGACTATATTCTTGAAAACAGGCTTTTTTTTTTTCTCCTTGTGATTTGTAGTTGATTATTTAACTTTCCTTTGTCAAGGATGCTGACTCAGGAATTTTCTTAAATGAAATCTTTTCTCACACAATTATGCCCTAACAAAAATCAACATAGGGCCTCTGCCTTCCCAGAGGCGCCACCATCCGGCTTTGATTTTTTTTGTTTGTTTGTTTTGTTGTTGTTTTGCTTTGTTTTGTTTTTAGAGACAGGGAGGGCTTCTCTCTGCCCTGGAACCCACGCTTTCTGTAAACCAAGTTGGCCTCGACCTCGGAGATCCTCCCACTTCTGTCTCCCCAGGGCTGGGATTAAAGGCAGACAGCAACAACGACCGGCTAAAGATAGTTTTATGTCATCAAATATCTAGGTGGGTTTTTCTGTTATTTGAGGCTTGGTTTTATGCTGCCAGTCTGCCCTGGAACTCATGAGGTTCCAAGTAGCCAGGGTTGATTCTGAACTCCTGATACTTCTGCCTCCATCTCGCAGGCTGTCACTTCACTTACTTTACACGCACACGCACACGCACACGCACACACACGCACACAGAGTGATTATATGTGTAATCAATTTTTAAGATGCACTTCCCTAAAATGACGTGAGAGTTATATGTGGTGTATTAAATGTGGCCAAACATGGCAGACGTACCGTTGGGCTAGAGAAAGAGTTAAGCTCACAAAGCGCTTCCGTTTCGCAGTACCTAAAGAAGGTGTGGTGTACACCTGTAATCCTGTACTTGGGAGGAGGAGGCAAGAGAGGAACGCGTACAGCATCTCCCACATGGTCTAGCGGTTAGGATTCCTGGTTTTCACCCAGGCGGCCCGGGTTCGACTCCCGGTGTGGGAATGTTCCTCTTTTGAGGCAGGCTGTTTCTAGACCCATGATTCTGGCCTTAAAGCGTTCTTAAGCTGCCGGGTTTCGAAAGAAGTAAGTTAAATACGTACATAAATGAACTAACAAATTAAGAAAGCCGGTTTGTGTGTATTATATATATTAGTCTAAGACGTAGAAGTTAATTTAAAAGTATAAAAATGCTTTTACCATTGGCAAAGTACTTTTCACCTATTAACTAATAAGTGAATAATAATAAACTTTATTTCCATTTTGCAAATTCTTGTCGGATATAGCTTACTGGTTTCACAGGAGGAAACGCGGAGTGGGAGGTTTGCTCGATTCTGATCTCTAGCAAGCAGAGGAGTCAGAGTTCAGTGTATTCTTTCCTTACTATCTCAGAGAGACAGAGACGGGGGGGGGGGGCGGGGGGGGGGGGGGGGAAAAAGAGAGAGAGAGAGAGAGAGAGAGAGAGAGAGAGAGAGAGAGAGAGAGAGAGAGAGAGAGAGAGAGAGAACACGAGTCAAAGTAAAACCGTTTGGGGGTGAATAAAGAACATTAGTAACGCACCACCTTCTGTAAGGCTAGGGGCCAGTCCTTAGGCGCTAATCCACGAAGCTGCTCAGAGCATTTGAGATGCTCAGCACAGTCTTACGTAAACGTGAAAACACGCACAATTTAAACCAGCTCTGGGAACTGACCCAGTGAATTATGGTGTACTTGGTAAAAGAATGTAATAGCCGGATGTAGCGGTGCACACCTGTAATCCCAGCGCTGCGCAAGTAGAAGCAGGAGGACTGCCAGAGCTACATAGCAGATACTGTCTCAAAAAACGAAATTAAATTAAGAATCTTATGTATTTCTCCGAGGAAGTAGTCCTGTTCTAGAGGGAAAAGCGCGAAAGATAACTAAAATGAGGTATCCTCAGGAACGCCATCTCGCTCAGCACTCCGCCCCGTTAGCTGAGCCCCTTCCCACTCATCTCCCTTCTTCAGACTCAAGGTGATTTGGAGAATGAGCCCCGAGGTTCCTAAAGTGAGCGTCCTGGCGCGCGGTGACTGGGCGTCGCAGCCCGCTGTGTACCCACCAGCCACTTTGAGATGCGCAGCGGCCTCCTCGGAGCTGTCGTTGTCTCTGAAAAAGCACCGGTACTCCCCCTGGTCCGAGACCCTGACACCCCGGATCCGCAGGGTAGCGCGGCCCTCCGGGAGCCCGTCGGTCACCAGCGTGGCCCTCCCGCGGTACTCGGCCATCTGCTGGTCCTCCTGCTCCTGGCCAGCCCGGTAAAGAAGCACCGCTGGCGACCTGGTCTGTCGAAACCACCGCAGCTCCATGGGCTCCGAGCTCGCGTTTGGGGAGAAGCGACAGGTCAGCTCCGCATCTGAGCCCACTAGGGCCAGCACTGGCTCCTGAGGTGCGGTCACATCGAAGGGAGCTGCCAGGATAGATAAGGTCAGATGGGACGATGGGACAGGATGGAGGATCTACAGACCAGGCTTCTAGTAAAGTAAGGGGCTCAAGCTGTCTACTGTTCCTTTTGTTGTTTTGTTTGTTTTTCAGACTGGATCTCACAAATCCCAAGCTGGCCTCCAGCTCACTGTAGCCTTGATTCTCTTGCCCTCAACTCTCAACTAGCATTGCAGGTGTGCACCGCCACACCCAGCATTCCATTTTTCTTTGATTTAAAGAAAAAACAAACAAACAAACAAACAAAACTAGGCTCTCCCAACGGAGATAGGGCTATCTCTATGTAGACCAGGCTGGTTTTGAACCCCGAAAGATCTGCTTCTACCTTCTTAGTGTTGGAACTGCAGGCATGCACTATCACCCGGGGAGATTTCCTTTGGATTCACTGGACTCTGGTGGATGTCCCCACTTGGAGCCAAACTGGGTCACTGACATTTAGAGGAACCGTCCAACCTTGCAAGAAAGAGACGGCTAGAACAGAGACATACCTGAATCCAGCGTGGGCAGCTGCAGGACCATGAGCGTGAGCAGACACTCCAAGAGGCAGGGGTTGGGAGAAACTGCCATCTCCAACCTTGCTGGGGCAACCGGCTGCTGATGGGATCTGCCAGGAGCTTCAGGCTGGGAGATAAACGGTCAAGGGGGTAGCTATGGGCTCTGCAAGCGCCCTGGTCTCCATCAGTTCTTTCCGACCTAGAGCGCTCGTTATCTCCCTCGCAGGGTAATTCTCAGCCCATGTTACAACAGTGCCCGTCCACACCCCTTTCTAAGTCTGGTCAGGCATGCACAAAACAGCAAACGCGGGCCTACAAGCCCTCAAGTGTCTCCTTAAGGGAGCTGTGAGGCACCGTTACGGAAAAAAGAAGAAATGTTGGAATCTCTGCATTTACAAGAAGGAGGAGGAGAAATAGAATAAAATCTTATTGAGTAGAATATTTTGTTATTCATGCTTAGAAATGATAATAAAGACAAAGCCATGGAGCTAGAAATGGATACATGAAATGAAATGGAGGAGGAGAGAGAAAGAAGTGGTATTTCACACCTGTACGCCCGACATTCTGGAAGATGATCTCTGCGAGTTATATAGTGAGCTACAATCCTGCCTCGTCTAGAGAGGAGAGAGAGGCAGGGCTGACGGGCTTGAGGAACAGAAAGCCGAGCACGGAGGCTCGCTGAGCTGAGAGAGAAGCACCTACCGACTTCGAGGTCGCAGAGGAAAAAGGAGTGAGAGCCAGAGGGACCAAGGGGAAAAGCTGCTTGTGGTCCCAGGGACAAAGTTAGAGTCAGCAGAAGGCAGGGGGTTCTGTGCTGTTAGGGAAGCCTGCCCCCAGGTGGCCAAGTGTATTTACTCAGGGAAAAAAAAAAAAAAAAAGTTTTCCAAGGACGTGAACTAGGGATTGGTGGTCCGGTGGTTCGGATCCATCCTCCTCCTCTAAGAGAACGATACGCGTTGAAGAGCTGGACTGAATATAGGGAACAGGAACAAAAAGACGGAAAGACGGAGTGACTAAAACGAGACGTGAGGCCCTCAACCAGTTAACTGCTCCTGTAGCTTCAGTTTTTTAACACTGAAAATGACAATAAGCCCAGTGCGGTGGCTCACCCGTGGAAATTCAGGACTCAGGAGGCAGGATAATTGTAAGTTTAAGGCCAGCCTGGGCTAAGTAGCAAGATGGAGGCTCGCAAGAACTACATATAGAGACGTTGTTTGAACAAAACAAAAGAGAGTTTGGTTTTTTCTTGTGTGTGTCTTTTTTATGATTGTTGTTGTTGTGGGGGGTTTTGTTGTTGTTTGTTTTTTAAGCAAAAGACTAATGTTACTAATACCTTGTTTGGATTATGCCGACTAGGAAGCATTTGGAAGAGTAATTGAAGCAAAGCAGGCAAAAGAATAGGAGCCCAGAAAGTAAACTGCTTTATCATTACATTTGTGAATAATTAGAGGGTTGGGGCCACAATGACTCCAGCTCTGCATCGCTGATCTCCTCTCCACTCTCAGGAGCTGCTGTGTGGGTGGCAGGATTCTACCTTCAAGGTGGCACAAAGGCACAGTCACAAGGACTTCCCCTGCCAAAGTCACTCGTGAGATCAGCAATTCCTTATGTAGTTTTGAATTTCCATTTACTACAGAAAAGTGGGAAAAAGAAGAAAAACAAATTTATAAACGAAATCACCATGAACCCATCAATTAATGACAGCTGACACATATTGCTCTGGTATTTATTTTAAATTTGTGTACATCATAGAAAGAATCAGTAAGTTTTCCTGAATAATTCAAAGCATTGCTTTAAAAAAAGGACGTAGTTGCCAAGATCGTGGATTGTTTACTGTTTTTTTTTTCCCTGTGAATACTGCCCTTGGTACTGGTAGAGTGCCCACTTAGCATTTGTGAAGCCCTGAGTTTGATCCTCAGCATTGTTTAAAATGAGCCTTGGTGACTCATACTGGTAATCCCAGGTGGAGGCAGAAAGATCAAAATTTTAAAACCATTCACATAGAAACTTGAAGCCAGGCTGAGCTACTTGAGACCTTGTTAGAACACATATATGTCATCCTTCGATAGCTCAGTTGGTAGAGCGGAGGACTGTAGAGTGATCCAATCTGGATATCCTTAGGTCGCTGGTTCGAATCCGGCTCGAAGGATAAGTGTTTTGTGGCTCAGATTCCCACAACACAGTATGGATGTGTTATGGGAGGTCAGAACCACCTAAAAAAAGGCAAACAGAAGAATAATGCACTTTGTTCATAAACTTAATAGCTTCTGGCACGCAGACAGAACACTGTATACATAATAAATTAATAAATAAGTAAATACATCTTAAAAAAATTAAAGTGAATAACTATTATATTTGGAGTCTTGGGAGATGTCTCTGCAGTTAAGAGTACTGGCTGCTCTTGCAGAGGGCCCAGGTTCAGTTCCCAATACCTACATGATAGCTCACAACCATCTGTAACTCAAGTTCCAGAGGTCTTCTGGGGCACTCACACACACATGGCAGACATACATGGATACACGTAAATTAAAAATAATTTTTAAAATAATGGCTTTATATTTTTGACAAAATTCCTTCTTAGTTTTATTTATCTCTTAATTATTATTTAATTTTTTTTTTAGGGTTTCTCTGTGTAGTTTTTTTTTGGAGCTGTCCTGAATCTCCCTCTGTAGCCCAGGCTGGCCTCAAACTCACAGAGATCCGGCTGGCTCTGCCTCTTGAGTGCTGGATTAAAGGCGTGCGCCACTGCAGGCTGGCTTTCCTTTCAATTATTATGATTAAAGTCACGGCTAGCTACCCCAGCTGGCCCACTAGACGGTCAGGGTGTGGGTTGTTCCCACCACAAATCTGGTTCTACTACTCTTCGTTCAAAATTCTCTGTATGTTCAGGACTGGTAGGAGGGCTTAGAAGGAAACGATCCCTGTAAGTCTGATTGTCAATCAGAAATGCCACACTGATCTTGTTCATACCTACAGGATATGTATATTATCAAAATATCAGGTCTTTAGTTCTGAATCCTTGCCTCATCAGTTGTGGGTAATTTGTATTTTAAAACGATTTATACAATGCATTTAAATGTTCCATCCTGGCTTACCAGATTGAAGGATAAAAATATTGTCAGTCGAGCTGGGAAGATATCCCAGCAGTTAAGAACATGGACTGCTTCTGTAAGGACCTGTGTGGACTGGCCCCTGACCACCTGTAACTCTGGCTCCCAGGGCTCTGCTACCCTCTTTGGACTCTTTGAGCATCTGCACTCATGTGCACAAACCCACATTTGGGCATACACATATATACACAATTAAAAATTAAAAATAAATCTTAAAAAAAAATATTCCTGCCAGGCAGTGGTGGCCCAACACAAATTCATACGAGATTACTTTGTGTGTATTTTTTCCTTTCAGTGTGTACTTTGTAGATGACAAAGATGTTTCAGTGTCAAAAGGTTGGAGAAAGGGAACAGTCTCTTGTTGTGGGATATTTTAATCACACTCCTGAGACTGCCCAATAAAGTTATACCTTGAATCAGGGGTGGAGCCAGTGACTAGCTGACCAGAACCGGTCATGGAGAAGCCAGCAATTTGGATAGAGAAGATAAACTGGAAGGAAAGGGCGGGGACTAGAGTTTGAGCTCTCTTGGTTCTGGGACACATGAAGAGAAATGTCTCTTGCGGTATCTCTTGCTAAAAAGCAAGGTCAGCTAGTTGCTACTCAGCCTCTCTGAGCTAGCAAATTTTGACCCCAGCCTTTGACTTCTGAGTCTTACTGATAAATAGGACCATAGAGACTTAATTTAAACCTACATATCAAGGTTGTGGCTGAGCCGGGGTCATGGAACCGGAAGCCCCACCAGGCGGTGGCCTGAGTGGCCTGTGGGGCAGCAGGCAATAATTAAAATATCAATAGATTCATGTGCAGCTGCTAAGCCTCTCTGCTGTCCCACCAGCAGGCAGGATCTGGAATTGGTGTGGTTTCTCAAACTACCACGTTTAGATAACAGTGCTTATCTTTCCTCTTCCAGAACATTCTGCCCCTTCTTGTCTGCACGATTAATTAGTCTTCCTCCCTCAAAAGTCACTGAAGATTGGTAACTTCTGCAACGTCTTCCAGAAGCAAACAAATCTAACGATTTTTATGGGGGTGGGAGCAAGCACACTGTGTTGCTGAGGATCACCTTGAAATGATCCTCCTGCCTCCAACCCCCAAGGCTGGTATTATAGGTATGTGCCACCAAGCTGGCTGCACATCACTTTTATTATTTTATTTGTTTATTTTGAGACAAGGTCTCAGTGTGTAGCCCAGGCTTGCCTGCAACTCACTATGTAGTCTATGATGGCCTTGAAGTCAAAACAATCTTCCTGCCTCAGATCCTGAGTACTGAAATTAATGTATGAGCCACCATGTTGATCTGTATAGTTGTTTTATCTGTTACTTTTCTACAAGTTTCTGAACACAATAACTCATTTACACTTTTATTTCTCTATATAACCATTTACATTTTTGATGCATTTTTAGTGTGTGTGTGTGTGTGTGTGTGTGTGTGTGTGTGTGCTGGAGATTGAATTCAAGGCCCCCAATGATGAGCACATAGTAAACTGCTGAGTTTTACCCACAGGCTTCTATAGCTTTTTGTCTTATTCTTGTTCAGAATCATCAGGTGATGAAGCAGCGGCCAGCTGTGACAGATCTGGTTAAACTGAGTCAAGGGGAAGGGCTGGAGTGGGCAAGTGCCCTGCAAGTTCTGGGCTCTTAACTGGTTTGCCGTTGAACTTCATGGCCAACTGCTCTTTCAGGGAGCACACACAATTAACATACACCAGATACGGCCATATGACGTTTGACAATACGATTCTGCAATAATGCTCCTGTTGACCAACCCCACGCCTAGGACAGTATGATGGGATTTGCATATTTGTGAGGGATGTGGAAATGGAGCCAAAGGAGCTGGTCTGAAGAAGATGGAAGGGTCACCAGAGAACTTAGCAGAAGCCAATGAACTAAGGTTGGACTGAGCAAGGTAGACAAAGATTCAGGAGGGGACTAAACGAGACCTTCTCTGAGTTCCGCCCCTTGCAGCCTCTGTGTTACCTCTGGTTATTGCTCACTCTGGCCTTTTCGTTGTCCTGTGGCCTTAGTGTGTGACGTGCCTAAGCGGGGAGGGCCGCCTTTTCCCTCTGGACGACAGGCTGTGGGATGGTGTGAACAAAGCTGGACTGTGACATTTCAGCAGAAGCCTATACATCTGTTATTAGGCCCAGTGTGGTGCTGCACACCCACCACACTTCATGATCCAGCATTTGGGACATGGAAGCAGGAGCTCAGGGGTGTATAGGGACTCAAGGCCAGTCTGGGCTACGCCAGATCCAGACATTTAAAAAATGGGCTGCCTTCATCCCCTTTCCTCTTCCCGCCGCCACTCTGTGTACCCCTAATTAAGTCTTGTCTCATTTGTCTTCACCAAAAGCAGACCCTGAAGCAAAGATTTGGATGCCTGTGAAGTACTGGGAGGTGACCTCAGGAAACACAGAAAGGAAGCAAAGAAAAGAGAGAAGGAAGAACCAGCAAAGGGCAAGTTCATTGGGCTGCTGCTGTGCGCTCAGCTTTGCTGAGGACTGTTTTGAGACAGGGTCTCACTATGCTACCCTGCCTGCCCTGAAGTTCAATATATAGACCTGGCTGCCCTTGAGCTCACAGGGATCCATCTGCCTCTGGCTTTTAGGTGCTAAAAGTAAAGGCATGGGCCAGCATGCCCTGCTTCTGAGGACTCTTAAGTGACTGGGTGGGATTAGAAACCCCCTGTCTCAGAACTGAGTGGAAATCTCGCCCCCACCCCCCTGTGAGGACTTGGAGAGGGATGCTTGTCAGAGAAATGCCAGAAGCAAACTGGGAGACAAGGGGTGGTACCTTGAGACTCAAGGGATGTGAGATTCAGGGGACAACTGCCTTTAAAGATAGGGAACACTGTGTTGTAAACTGTCAGGGTTCCCAGGACTTATCCCAAGGCCGCTCACCACCGTCTCTACCAGCTCTGGGGTCTCTGCTTCTCTTCACCACTGCCTCTCCAAACACCCTGCCTGGAATCCTCCCTCCATCACTGTTAGCCAGAGTTAGGAGTTGCGATGCCTTCAAGCAACCTAGGGAGGGAGAAATGGGTCAGCTAATGTGGTAAACTTCCAAGAGAGAGTTTGTGACCTAAAACTTCAAAAACAATGATTACCTCCTCCTTCCTTTCTGTCCTTATCTCCAAAATGTTTTGAATTATCGTGCATCCTGAGCCTCAGAGATCTTGGGGGTTGAAGCTCTGACTCCCCGAATACCATGGTGTGTGCCAGTTCTGTGGCAGCCGTGGGGCTCACAAAAGGCTTGTTGTTTTTAGAACAATGGGGACAAGGACGACTCAGACTTTTCCAAGCCTCTTCCTTAGTTTCGCTGGAAAGTGAGCAAGGCTGAAAATCAATTATCAGATGAGTTAAGTATGTGGAAACCAATTGATCGTGTTAAAGATGCGTTTCTGGGAATGTGTACATAAAACTCACAATGAGACAACTGTTCCCTCCTATGAACTCCTGATTATCAGTGCATCGGGAACATACTCTGTGTCTCAGCTTTTGTTCTTAGAAAGCTGCGGGAAGTTCCTTTTGGCTTCAGATGTCAGGAGTTTGCTGTATCTGAGAACTCAAAGTGGGGAGCCAAGTTTGGGGTGGGAGCTGTGAATGCTGGGAGACTGGCAGTGGGGTTCTGACCGCCTGTGGCTACATGAAGCCTATTGGCTCACCAGCTGCCCAGCTAGGGTTTGTGGGTGGCCGTGGGGCCTGGATTGGAGACAGCCACAGTGTCATCTACAGCAGCCCGAGGAAGTTTTCCTTTTTCAGATACTCAAGTGAAGATGGGATTCTTGGCTTCATAACAGAAAAGAACCTTCAGGATGAGCCAGCGTGAAGCAGAATGGAGGTTTTAGGAAGAGATTTTAACATAGATTATTTTTTTTATTACATTTGTTTATTTTGATTGATTGAATGATTGATTGGGGGGCAGGTGAGTGTAGGAGCACACGTATGCAGAGGTTAGAGGGTAACTTTCAGGATCAGTGTTCTCCTTCATGTGGGTCCCAGGGACTGAACGCTAAGTGGTCAGTCTTGGTGGTGAGTGCCTTTACCTGCTGACCCTTAAGTATAGACTTAAGCACGGGAAATAATAGAAAGAGAGGCACTCGGGGAAAGGAAAAGACACACTCAAGTGTGAATGTGGGGATCTCAGGGGAGAGTTACACTTACGGGTGTTATAGTAGCCACATATGATTTTGGTGGCTCTCAAGTTACGTCTCAAAGGGTTGCTAAGGAAATTTCTTTTCCTTTTCTCCTCCTTTTTGATAAATGAAGTTACAGGTGGCCCCTTTGGTGTCTTGGATAGGATTTCCACCTGACAAGGTAAAACCATGGGCCACAAGGTTTGAACAAGGAGCCAAAGACATGCCCATTAATGTAGATGTGTTTCTTGTGAGATTCTTAGAAAAGTGTAGATTTACAGTTGGATAGCCAATATGCTGAGGTCTGAGCATGATACAGGCTATTTTGTCATTCTAACTTGAAACACCTCTATACAAAGGAAATATGGTCTCTGTGTAGACATCCTTAGCTGCCAGTGTTAACTGTGCTGGAATTCCCAGCTGGCAAGAATAAACTTCAACTAGACTCTGGTGAGAGGCTTACCATGGTATTGGGAGGAGTGGTATGCCTTCTCCCCACCCCGGCTTTCCTTGGCTAAGATCCTGGAGGCTGCAACCTGCCCTGGCTACCACCTGAGTTGCTAAACAACAATTTACTGAGAGATGCTGGTTGGGATCTGAGGTGTGTGTGTGTGTGTGTGTGTGTGTGTGTGTGTGTGTGTGTGTGTGTGTGTGTGCTGCGCAGCTGAAAGAAGTCTTTTCTTTTGGCATGACTATGATGGGAAGCCCACTGGGGCTGTGGGGTTGCTGAGTTCTGGAAGTCAAGAAGACCAGACCAACAGACCTTGCAAGGATCAGGTTGCACAGGACCTTGTGATTAGCTCCCATGAGAGTTTAGTGCCACCTCCAGGTCTCCTCAGAGTATGTACACAACAGTACATGGCCTCCTAGAATCCCAGAAACAAAATTCCAGCAATAAGAAAAGAAGGAAGATTGGAGCTGAAGACCATTTTTCCATTGACCAGATAACTATCAGCACGGTTTATGCACCATAGGGTTTTGTTATTTTTTACCTAAAGATGTATCTTTGGGGTAATATTTCTTTTAAGCCTGTTTTTTTCTCAAATATACTTTTAAAAACTTCCTTTGTTTTCTGTTTTTTTTTTTGTTTGTTTTTTTGTTTTTCATTTATCTTTTTTCAAGACAGGGTCTCTCCGTGCAGGCTTGGTTGTCCTGGAACTTGCTCTGTAGACCAGGCTAGTCTCTAACTCTGAGATCCACCTGCCTCTGCCTCCCAAGTGCTGGGGTTAAAGGCATGTGACACCACCACCCAGCCACCTTTAAAAGTTTCAAAATTGTTTAATACCTAGTCAAGTTGAGATTTTTTTAAACTTCTTTTTTAAAATTTGTAATAAAAGTTAACGATGTTATTTTTTTAAAAAGTTAATAAACTGAAAGCACCTGCTAATAAAGGTCTAAAATAATAATAAAAAAATAAATGAAATAAAACAAAACCTTAGCTTTGAGGCTAGTACTTCAGGAGAAGGGTACTTGCCTAGCATGACCAAGGCCCTGGGTTTAATCCCCAGCATGGCAATGAACAAACTTGCCTTACCTTTCCCTTCTGGCATAGACCTGCTTATACATGGTGTTTGCTTCAAGCATACATTTTTAAATGCTTTCATCTCATAAACTATTTGTACTCTTGAAAATAACTGAGGACCCTGAAGAATTTGTATGTGGGTTGTATCTATCAGCATTTAATATAATAGGAACTGAAGTCAAGAACATTTTAAGCATAGTAACACAAAAGCACACTTTCCAGTGGATAGGACACTGTCATTATGCATCACTTAACACCTAGGAAACTCTGAGTCTACATGTAATGTGCAAAAATATGAACGTTGCTTTTAGTAGCATTGAAGAGTTCTGACTTCATGGATCCTCTGAAATTGTCTTGGACTGATACATGCTTTTAAGAATCCATGTCTCTGATGTTCCAGAGGAAGAGTGTAATACAGTTACTGGGGAATGCCTGTGAATCACTGTTGGGGAAGTTGAGGCAGACAGAAGTGCTGGAATGTAATAGTCAGCAGAGGCCTTTGCCATGCCCACAGTGAGCTCTGGAAGTAGGATGGCCTTCTAGAATTCAGATCTTGGGCACAAGCCACAGACTTCTATACATACACACTGACCAGTCCTTGTATGGGCACAGCTAAGCAACAGGGGATCCAGTAATGTTAAACACACAGGGTTGTCCCTTCAAAGGGAGGGATGCATAACCTGTGTTCCATCCAGAAAGCATGGAGCAGCTGTGGCTAGTAGCCTGGTGACCAAAGAGACCACAAAAGATGCCCCCCAGACCCTTATCCTGAATAGGACAATCTATATGGAAGTGTCACGTGTACTTTACAAAGAGTTTGATGTTTTAAGTATTATTGTGCACAGGGGGTTAATTACTGTGAGGAAATTTTCAGCAAATCCTGCCGCGCATAAACATGTCTAAGGTCAACTACTCAGGGTCAGACTCCCGAAGTTTGAACCAACACTGGTTACTGGGTCGAGTTGAACCAAACTACCTTCTTGCCTCCCTTCACTACATTGCTGGCTGTTGTGGTCCCAGAGACCCCCACAAACCCCATGCAGAGGTAGAAATACCTTGGGCAGGGAGGCTTTCTTTGGCTGAGATCAGTTCTACAGTATGGCCTTAAGCCACCCAAACTCCGCAGCCTGAGATGTAAGGGTTGATCTGGGCACAACTGGTCATCCACCTTAGCAGAAAAACGGTAGTGGAGTTCTAGTTTTCCACGGAAGGGTGTAGGCAGAGAGGGAAAAGCGCTTTGCTTCAGGAAATACTATGACATGATGAAGGAAGAGAACTTTCTCTTAGAAATCTCAGATGTTATCTAGTTGTACAACAAGATGGTCCCCAAGTACTGTCTAACTCACGAGACTCTGTTACAGGATAGGTGAGAAAGTCATAGGCCACCATGCACATATGAGGTTAAACTGAGTTCTTTATTTTTGGAAGGCTAACACCAAAGAAAGACTCTTGGTGCTGAAGCTCAGGGGTAGTGTTTTTAAAGTTAAAAAACAAACAAACAAACAAACAACAACAACAAAAAACCACAATCACATCAATGTTAGGTGAGTCCAGAGTAACTATGTAACCATGTAGCGTTTGTTTTGGCAGAACACAGTCGTTATTCCAGACAACAGACAATTTGATTTATACCCTTTTCAGTTATTTTAGTTTCTGTTTAGTCTGTAAGAACATTAATTATTTTGGTCAAGACATCTGGGCCATGGTCAGGGTCATCGAAATCCCAAATGAGCTGCCAATGCTGATGTGGCTGTTGGGGCACTGGGAGCTGAGAAATGTCTAAGAGACACAAATGAGTCAGGACAAGATGGCGCGACTTCAGTTCCTTCAAATTCAGCCCGCCAGTGAGGATAGCCTTGTGGGTTTCCCTTAAACATCCTTCTTACCGTCTGGCCCCAAGTTCACCTCACCCTACTCTCGACCAGTGCACAGAAGGATGGCTGGGACGCCCTCCTTCCAGCCCTGTCACCTGCTGCGTTAGGCTTTTTAAACCACTGTGATAAAATACCTCCAAGAAGCAACTTCGGGGAGGGAGAGTTTGCTTTGGCTCATGGTGGTAGAGGGGACAGGCGACTGTGACTGGGGAGACAGCAGCTGGTCTGTGACTTGTCTCTGGTGGCAGTGGGAGTGTGAGGCCTGCGGGCCCAGAGCTTGGTGGATCAGAAAGCAGGGTCTGTTTAATCCTCAAGACTCATCCCCAGTAAACTACACCCTCTAGTTAGGTTGTACAACCTCCCAAAGGAGCAGCTCCAGCTGGGGACGAGCCTTCAGCCATGGAGCCTGTCAGGGATGGCTCGCATTCAAACCATAACACTTACTGTGTGCTTTGGCCTGAGAGTTTTCATTATCCATGGGCTGTTTATCTCTAAAATGAGTTACTTGAAAAGACAACCCCTGTGTTTCTCTGAGGTTGGGCCCAGCTTTTGGTGTATTATGTGGTGATATTTTATTTGTGCTGAAATGTGGTGTTATTTTATTTGTGCTTTAATAAATATAGTTTGCCTGGAGATCAGAGGAAATAGCAAGGCATTTTAAGTAAACAAAGAAGTGAAGCAGCAGTGGCCCTTAATTCTATCACTGAGCAGGCAGCAGGGTCTCTGTGTGTTCAAGGCCACACAGGAAACAGAGCCAAGCATGGGGACACACACTTTTTTTTTTTAATGTTTATATATATATATATATATATATATATATATATATATATACACATATACATATATATATTTTATTTTACAATACCATTCAGTTCTA